TGACTGACCAACCCTCTGGCTGGGGCTGTACTGCGATCACTAGTGGACGGTCTGGTTGTGCTCTCGAATAGTTGGTCACATTCTACATGTGTCCAAACTAGTTACACTGGGTTGCCTTTATGACTTCAAATTCCTCATAGTGCTTGGGGAGATAGTTTAAGGTTTCAGGCAGATCAGTTGTGTATGTTATTCAGTTGTAGTAAGGCTGAAAGGCGAATGGTTACTTTTCTTGATCATGCCAAAACATCCACATAGGACTATTTGTGGGGAAATTTTCCTCTCTTCCCCATAGACTTCAACAACCCTACGATACAGATCCCATAACATATTAAAGAAACACAGACTCCCCCTGGAAATGTGTTTGTGTGCGCATCATTCTGAATGAATCTGAATACTATCAGCGGGGCGCTACTTCCTAAATCAGCATGGGGTAGGCCCTTCCTTTTGTTGCTTAGGTTTTCCATTAAAAAACTTAACCACTGAAAGTGACCAGTCAAACAAAACAAAACAAAAAACCCCAAACCAAAAAACCCTTGTGCTGAAACAAAGCAGCGTGAGTAATCCAGTTGTACTTCCATGGGGCTTTAAATGTCTGCCCTTGGAAGACACGACAGTACCTTTAGGACCTCCTGATAAAATCCAAGTCTCCTGTCCTGCCCAAGGCACTAGAATAAGCCACCACACTCCTCAGGTCACTCTTTGAACATGTCCTTTCTTACCCAAACCCAACCCAACCCATTGTTGCGAAGTCTGACTCACGCTAACCCCATGTGTTACAGAGGCGAACATAGGATTTCCTAGGCTGTGAGCTTTACGGAAGTAGATGACCAGGTCTTTCTTCCATGGACCTTTCTGCTGAGTGGTTTTGAGCTACCAACTAGTCAAGGGCAAACCATTTGTGCCACCCATGGGCCTTTGATTCTCTTAAGGGGGTTACAATGAGTAGTTCATGTTTCATTTACAAGACCTCTGCCTTTGTCTTGAGTGGGGGTAGGACCAACCGTGGCTGGTGTTGGGAGACAACGAGTCTGTTCGACCCCCCACCAGGACCCCCTTCACAACAGAGCAGAATACCGCCCGCTCCTTTGCCATCTTCATAACAGTGATGTTTGAGCCCATTGTCGAAGCCACTGTGTTGATGAGGATCTTTGCTGAAGGTCTTCCTTATTTTTGCTGCCCCTCTGGGAGAAAAATTAAGTATTCTAGTTGTCTTCTAATATTTCTAAGGGTCTGAAGACGGGAAATTTTTGAATTGCTTTCTCTCACACGGCTACTTTTTAAGATGAATCTATATATCCGGTTACATTCCCAAACCTAGTACAGTATGATTGTGTCAGGGCAGCTTTCCGAATCATAATGCATTTCTTGGGAGAATGACAATAAAGTTGTCGACTTATTTTTCAACCTGGGTGCTGCCTCCTCTGGTTCCTACACTTAATGTTAGAGCTACTGTCTAAGGAAGTCAGTTTTAGCGTCAAGTGCATTGATGGTAATATTGCAGATGTCTGTTCCAGCTGCATGCATTTTGCTTAGTCCCTCCCTGTCTTTCCTGATGGAACAGGTCCCACTGCCAGCAACTTTATTTGATTCTAAGATGACAGCTAAGGATGGCTCTGGAAATGAAAAAAAGAAGCATTTTAAAATACTGTCATTTTAATGGCAGCTTTACCCAGGACAAGTAAAAATGTCTGCAGGGCAATTAGAAAGAAGTTTGATTTTATTTATTTTTCTTTCTGAGTGGGAGAGCTAGAGGGCTGGCCCCAGGCTGTTTTACGGGGGTAGTATTGGGTCCCTGTGGTTTTAGTATGAAGTCGGATTGGGAAGAAATGAACGAGTAATTTGTTTGTAAATGTTGTGAGTAATCATTTCACATTCTAATGTTTGGAGGTTCCTAATTATTTTGCATACGGAAGAGTTAAAAGAAACAAAACCAAAAACCAAAGCCACTGGCACGGATTCCATTCCTTCTCATGGTGACCCGATATGACAGAGGAAACTGCCTCATAGAGTTGGCAAGGTCTGGGGGTGCTGTCCGGTAAGCGTGGCACGGAAAGCCACGGGTCGGCGGTGAGCAGCCCCTCACTGCACAGGTCAAAGAGGAGGCTGTGTGCTCCTGTCAAGAGTTACAGCCTCAGAAACCCTCACCTTGCTATGAATCAGAATCAATTTGCTGGCAGTGGGCTGGGTTTGGTTGAATCGTTACAGAAGCCACATTTTTTAAACTGCCAACCTTTGGGTTAGTGGCTGAGTGCTTAACCAATATGCCAGTAGGCCTCCTTTGAATAAACGATCTATGGAAACAAAATAAAACCCCAAACCCTGGATCCATAAAGTGGATGCCAATGCACTGAAACCCTCTCAGATCAATTCGAGCCCCACTGCAGTAGTTCCATGGCTGCACATTTCACCACTTTTCCCTCCCTCCAGCTGCTGGTAGGGTTTGATCAATGACCTTTTGGTTTCTGACCGAGCATTTAACCACTGAGTGCCCAGGGCTCTTCTGGATTACTGTTCTTACAAAGGGTTTGAGGCTTTAGAATCACTGAGTGCTGAAGTGTGTGTGTGTGGGGGTGTGTGTGTGTGTGTGTGGGGGGGGGTGTCAGAGGGTTGTGGCAGCCAAGCCCCTGAGTGAGAGACACTGTGATCCTGCTGGCGGCCTTTCTTCCCTGTGAGGTTAGAGGAGAACACAGGAAGGGCACATTGCCTGGAGAGAATCGATTGCTCTCCTCTCCCCTCATCAATTTACATCACATTTTCTATGCAAACAGGCTAAAAGTTAATTTTCCATACTTCTCAATTCCACTGTTAGATCATCAACCTTTTTGTGCTGCCCTGAAGAACCATCCCCCAGAGACCTGCATGTTGTCATCGGCAGCCCATTGAAGAATAAGAAAAGTGTCACTCCGGAATTAGAAAATGATTTGTACTTCCTTACACCTAGAAATATCCGCTCCTCCCTTCATCAGATTTTCAAAACAGCCCTATCTCCATACGAATGACTCAGTAGTTGCACAGGTCACTAGGAATTGGTGAGCATTAGAAACAGCAAACAAATGTGAATGTAACAATAGTTTTGCTCAGAATTGAATATTGGATTCAAATCCGCTCAGGTAATAGGATGTTCCTTGATGAAACCATCACTGAATGGATATGGATTAGGAGATGCTTTCCTGGTATTTGAGAAAGACACAGAATGAGTGGAGGAGGGGCCATGGGCGTGAGAGCAATGACTCTTTGATCTCACTCTCAGCTTTTGTGCTAAGAAGTCTTCCCAGAAAGCCTCTTTTTGCCTGCAATATAGATAAATGGCCTTTGAAAGCATAATGGGAATTGATGCCATCTATTGATTACCATTTAAAGCACACCTTCCTAATCTTTAATAGTTGTTGAAGGAAAAAAATGTTTTCCAGTAGAATAAGCATCTTTTACCAGAGGATCCAAGCCCAGAGTCTTGATATCCTAAGGTGGTCAAGTCACTTTACATAGCAACTGGACTATTGCTCCAGACCAACTTGACTATTTGCTGCCAACCTTGTTGAAGGGTGATCCCCAACCAGATTTCCAGGGAGCTGTGTTGACCACTCAGCAAGAGGACATCCCTGGCCACTTGTCCTGGCATCTGTGACTGCCATCCGCATTTCATGTGGGCAGGGCATGGACCCAGATCAGCGTCTCACTTAGGAGTGAAGGTCAAAGTCAGAATAGTCCCCAAGGGGCCTCATGTCAATTTGCTGCTTTCAATCTTAGGCTCCCTCCTTTAGGTGTGGGTTTTGATCGACTCCATCAATAGGTGAGATATGGATTTCTTGAGCCAATGAGAATGCTTGTAAAAGGTCCCAGAACTAATACTTTCTCCTTCAGGGAGTGAAAATAGTTCTTAGTTAATTGCTATAATTTCAAGCAACAGACTCCTCCTGGCTTCCCATGAAGTAATTAGATAAACCTCATGATAATCCATGTAGGAACACATTTCTTACTGCTTCACTAAAACAAGTCGGCTTAGTACCAGCATCTGTTTACTCTGGACTTTTGAAAAGAAGTCAGTAATTATACCTGTCATCCAATAAGATGATTATCGGTTGGAGTGAATGATTAAACTTTCCCTCTCTTCCTACTGCCCATGTAGCTTCTGGGTCATAGACCCAGTTGGTCCCAGGGATTAGGGTGGGACGCAGCAGCAATCTATATAATTAGTCCACATGCTCATATAAACAGACACATTCTCCTCATTGGGGCAACTGACAAACACTTGTGTTCCTCACAGCCTGACTGATATCCTTGCGTAGAGTTCAGTTGCCCTGGAAGCAAGATCTTGACGGCATATGTACCCATGTCTTGTACATCCTCTTATCCTTCTAGCACTTCCTGTTGCAAATGCCTTTTATCTTACCACTCGCCAGAGTTTACATAGCTTTACTGCCTTTTGTCAGTGAACAATTTCATGTTTGCCCACTAAGGCCTGACCTCAGAAGGGAAAAAAACCCAATAAGCTATTGAAGACATTAAAACAGTCATCAGCTGCTGTGAAGAGTAAATGATCAGCACATACATGAAGAGTCAAAACAATTGTAGTACATTGCAGTAGGAAATCAATGTCTCCACTTGGAGATGTGATTGTTTAGTCCTAGTCAGGTTCAGTCCGTCACCTCCCTTCTGTGAATTGCTGAGACAGAAAGTCAATGCTTTTCGCACAGAAAGGAGAGGGAGTAGATACATGTTAGTTCATTCTCCTTGTATTCAAGGAAGGGGATGGCGGCCCACAGAAGTTCAATGGACAAACAATCACTTTGTGGTAGAGTTGGGAACTCTCAGACCTGAGAGTTCAAATCAGTGCTTTCAACAAAGGACTGGGTAGGACATGCTCACTAACTAAGGGGTGTCATTGTCAGATGGTGCTAGCATTCCCTATCCATCCCCGTCAACCTTTTAAAGCGCTGCAAATTTGCGTTGCTAAGAAGATGATAAAGACCAGCAGGCCAAATGAGCTGCAAAGCACTTACTCTGAAAAATTCTTTTGTTGAACCAGAGTCCAGGGTCCCATATGCAATTTCAGTCTGCTTAGCTAAGTCTTCAGCACTTTCTATGGGAGAAACCATCCTCTCCACAGTCAGGAAAGCCGCGAGATTGGCGGTATAGGAAGAAATGATGATCAGGGTGAAGAACCACCAAACCCCTCCGACAATGCGCCCGGAGAGAGATCTACAAAACAAAAGAGAGAGAAATCCAGACCCAGAGGGGCCCGATTTTAGGTTAAGAAATCCTTGTCTTTATTTCTGGAAGAGGAGTGGTTTCTGGACAGCAGATGAAGGAGATGTAGAACAGTAGATGAGGTGAAGACATTGAAACATCCAACAAAAGTCACATGTTCACAACCACACTCCACGTGAAGGGTGGCAGATGATGAACTGTATGGGTTTCGAAGCAGGATTTTCATTTTGAATTTCAGAGAAGAATGTGTCTTCTTCTTCTTCTTTTTCTTTTTTTTTTTTTTTTACTAATCCTTGCCTTTACATAATCCTTGTACAGATGGCAAGGGTTTTGAAACTATTTGCCACTCCTGTGGAAAACTGCTCTGTTTCCTTTAAGGCTGTCATTCTCAACCTTGGCTGCATGCTGGAATCACCGGGGATCTTAAACACACAAACAACCCAGTTCCCACGCCTATCCAAGACCACTTGAATTAGCACCTCGGTGGTGGGACCCAGGTAATTCTCATTTGATGTAAGGTCATGATGCAAGGGAGAACTCGAGTTCTAACCCTTTCCACATTTGAAGAGAAGCAGGCAGGTGCTGGGGAAGATCACCAGGGACTCGGGGTTTCCCCATTTTCATAAAGACATCACCATTCTATGCGATCGGTCACCCATGAGGCCAGGAGCGAGAAGAAAATATTTATTATCAGCTTTATATAAATGGCTAGTGGCCCTCACGAGTCAAGGTTTGGGGATCAAAACTCTCCCTTTGACAAAGCCTAGGTTTGCCAAAGGGATGTAAGGTTAGCCTCAGATGAAGTAGGAAACTACTTAGATCAGTGATTCTCAACCTTCCTAATGCCGTGCCTCTTTAATACAGTTCCTCATGTTGGGTACCCCCAACCACAAAATTCTTTTCGTTGCTAGTTCATAACTGTCATTTTGCTACTGTTATGAATCGGGCAACCCCTGTGAAAGGGTCGTTCAACTCCCAAAGGGCTCACGACCCACAGGTTGAGAACCGCTGTCTTAGAGAATAGAATTTGACATAACTAAAAGGATTGTTTCCTTCAGCTTCAATAAGAAGAAAAACACCACCAACAACCATCAGGGAGAAAAACCAAGGCCAGCCCAGCCCAACCCAATCCAGCCCAACCAAAAAATCCTCACTAGCCTGCCACTGGAGTTCTTCCTCTTGGAACCCTCCTCTGTGTTGTCTTCGGGACACTTGGGGCAACTGTAAGACATCCCTTGAACAGCACCTGCCCAGACCATACTTGTCGCCACAGAACCAATTCCCACGCACAGCAACGTTCTAGGCAGAGTAGGACTGTGCTCGAGGCTGTCAATCTTTATGGAAGCAGATTGCTTAATCATTCTCCTTTAGAGCAGCCGGTGAGTTTGAACCACCAACCTTTTACTTAGCAGCCCAATGCTTAACTCATAGCCCCACCAGGGCTCATTCAATAGCACCTATTACCACGTTCCTCCAGATTAGTTTGATCAGTGGAGAATAAGGCAGCGGATGGTTCCATTTTAACCAAGGGGACAGTTTTTCCTTAAATGTTAGAGCATTGGTATTTCCTATGGTGTTTGTTACAATGCAGATTCCGAACATCTGAGTGCCCAGGGAGTCTGCCCTTGTTAAGCATCACAGGTGATTTGGCTGCAAGTGCTCTGCAGACCGAGTTTGGATAACTGTTCTTCTAGATAAGTGATTCTCGACCCTGCCTGTCGATCAGCATCTTTTGAGGAGCTTGAAAGAAAGCACAAAAATCAAAACGAAACGCAAAAATTTGGTCCATGCCCACTCCAGACCAATTGCTCAGGATCCCTCGGAGTTGGGCCTGCCTACACATGAGCATTTTCAGAACATTTTGGAGATGCAGCCACGGCCGTCGACCTGATGAGTGCTACTTAGTGAGAAGGACCATGGGACAGCTGAGGGTATGCAGTGTTGGCTGATGGCTGGACGGAAGAAACTCCTTCACAGTTTTGATAAAGGTTGGCTATGTCTGCAGAGATACAAACCTGCTCCTTGAGTCTTAAACTATGACCCTGTCATCCCTAGGAGGGTTCTGCTTTGTGGCAAAGCTTCATCTTGGTGAACCTATGAACTCTCAGACCCAGAAAAGCTCATCTGGAGAGAACACAAACTGTCCTAAAGTCAAGAGCAGATGTAGGAGCCAGGCTAATAGTAATGCCCGTGTCTTGAGAACGCCCCTTGTCAGCCTTGGGAAAATTCAGTTGGTTTACATTCTACATTTGGATCAAATAATTTGGGCAGGTGTTTTGATCACTGGAATTTTTAATTGGCTAACTATAACAGATGCACTTGGTTTTTTAAAATGGCCATTCCCGTTGGTCCCTACGTGCCTAAAATTACCATATTTCTTTGTTTTTGAACATAATCACGTTCAACTTCTCCGATGTGAAAATTTACTTTGCAACTGAGTTTTCTAACTAATAGCTATACTCTCTCAGGATTTCATTTGGGAACATGTCCCCCTTAATCAGAACAGGAGTCAGAAAAGAATGTGTCACACTTCTAAATGCTAAAAGTATACAATATTTTAATTTTTAATTTATGCTTCTCATAGTCTTTCTTCATTGTTGCAATACATGCTTCATTTATTCTGAATTGATCTGATTCTGAAAATGAAATTTAATATCTAAAGGCTTAATGCCCTAAAGTAGCATGACTAGTAACAGAATACTGAAAATGCTAATAATAACAGCCAATAGAAGGGGACTCAGATCTATGTGCCAGACTCTGTTCTAATTGCTCTACACGTATCAACCATTTTTAAACCTCCTTCCTTATAGATTCGCTACTGTTTCACAGATGAAGAAACTGAGGAACAGAGAAGATAAAGAAGACATAAAACTTCCATACTTACACAACAGGAGCAGAATATCCACATTTTTTTTGTAGTGAAAAATACTCATGTTCTGCCTAAGCAAATTCGGAGTGGTGTGTAAATTATAGAAGGCACATTTTTTTTCTACAAATACTGAGAAATATAGTGGCAAGAAAAGCAAGCGTGTTTGGATACTTATTGTTTATTATTGATTGTTCACTAGGAATGGAGCTGTGAGTGTCATCTTTACTGGGGTGACGGAGCTTGACGCAGACCAGAGGGAAAACTGCCTTTGGAGTATTTCCAAAACCCTGGTTTGGTATAATCTTCTGCTGAGAATCTCAACCGTAGTTTATACAGAGCCTACTTGAACTGTAGAGAAAACCACAGTGATTTATGGAAATGACACTTGTGCCATTCTGTCGAGGCTGCTGGACTGTGGCTGTGGCCGTGTGATCTGAAATCAAGCTTGTATCATCTGGTTATTTTGGCCACCTTAATAGCTGACTCAGATGATAATATGGTTGATCCGAATGACTCAGTTGAGATGGACTATTGACATAACTGAAAATAAGCCCCGTTAAATGCAAAATGGTGATTTCCATGGTCTCTTGTCTATATGGCTATTGGCCTGGGCAATTAGATGGTTAGTTTCATGGTACCTTTGTGCATGGAGAATTTGGGTGATTAACCACATAGAAAATGGTATAATAGCATCTACAAGTCTCAGTATAGATGAGCAAAAAAAGAGTTTTTATAGAATCAATGTTGAATGATCACTATTATTCACTCTCCCCTCCAGACAGGTAATAGCTTCAACAAAAGGTTTTGTGGAATTTCCACCACTTTCCCCCATTGTACGGCACGAACTCCTAAATCCTTTCACTGAGAAAAGGTGAAGCGAAACACGCAGGGAAGAAGTGCTACGAGCATTTTTATAATTCCCTTCTCTCATTAGGCAAAGTGTAGCCACTTAAACCCACATTTCAAGGAGAAGCCATATAAAAAGTGATGGATGGGTCAGCCTCATCACATTTTATAAAAGATCTATTAACACAAGACTAGGCTTTAAAGGTGAGTTAAAAAGATCTGTCATTTCCCCAGCCTCTTCTCCCCCATTAATGCAGCTGCAGTCTTCAACATTCTTTTCAAATAGTTTTGTTGCACAAGACAGATTTTGAGGATCATGTCATGAAATGGCTGGGAAATGCTGTGCATTTAGTCTTGATGAAAGTGCATTATAAGGAGCATCGCACACCTTTTGACGAAATGTAAGAGGAAGTGTGAAGTTAATGAAAGTAAATTAGCCATGAGAAAACCACACATATAAAAACATGGCAAAAAATATGTATACCAAGTCATATACAATGCTCTTGTTATCTGTGTTCATAAGAAACAAGCTTCTGAGTTAATCATAAAATATGTTTTATGACCTCTGAAATGTTAATAAAAGTGAGCTATGTGCTGTATCTTTCATCCTGTAAGTAAAATTTGAGACCTGCACTTGACTAGCTTCACAAGATGAAGGGCTTGAATTGCACAAATTCTCTATCATTCCTCCCCTTCCTACGTTCCAAAGAATGCACTGTTTCTACACCACTCCAGACAGTGCTGTGCCGGTGACAGATTTTTAAAAATGTGCAGAATCCATCTTTGGGCTCTTCTAGTCCTCTCAGATGGGAATAAGTAACCGTCCCAAAGACTGAAAACTACGGCTTTCAGCCAGAAAAGTCATAAAGTAGTTGCAATAAACATTTTGCTGTGACATCACTAATTTATTACCACATCCCTCGTGCTTTGAAGTGGATTTGCGGCCCAAGGAAGACACTGCTCATACATCAGCAGGGGAAAGGACAGTGCTGCAAATGGAACCCGAAGCCCTCTTGTCTTTGTTCCCATTCATGTCACACCCGGCATGCTTTTTATTCCTCTGCACGCACTTTCCGTTTTCAAGGAGGGTCTATGTGTGAGGGAACCTGGATGGATCCTCTGCCTCTCCTCCAGGGCACTTGGCACCTTAACAGTAGAGTAAGGCATTTATAAGACTCAGTGCCCAGTAATCTGGTGCAAGTGAATCTGTTCTTTTCATTCTCCGTTAGAAATCCCCCCACCCTCACTGCTTCAATGTGGCTAGGCTTCAGATCTCCCTGCAGCTTCACAGAAAGTCAGCAGGGGGAGTATTTGTCTGGAAGTATTGGACTGGGCTGGTTAATGGTTCTAATCATGTTTTACAAAGGAAACCGACTTCTGATGAACAATAAAGTTGCAGCTCCTTGTCAATATCAGTAAAAGATTGTGGAATAGTACTTGTGCAATCAAAATATTTGCCAGAGGTGTAATCCCTAGCAAAAGCACCATGTGGATGGAAGACGGAACATGGCAGGTTTTCCTTGCTTCTCATCAGAAACCAAACCAACTTGAATCTCAACTGTATTCCTAAAGGATTTTAGAAACTAAGATGTAAGGGCAATATTATCTCTTAACACTGGTGAAAATAGGATAGTTTAATGCAGCCAGCTTAATAACAACAATGGCTTAACATTTATTGAGGCAGGCACTCTTCACATTTTACCCATGAGGAACCAAGACATACCAAGTTCTGGTAAATGTGCCCCAGGTAACACAGCTGCAGACTCTGAATCAACTATAGCGACCACTCGCACCCACATGCTGAACCATTAGAGCCGGCCTGGCTCAGATCAGGCTGCTCCCACTGCATGTCCCCCACCCTCTACTCACAGGAAAAGGGTAGAATTGAATCTCCTCACACCTTATTCTTCCTTTTCCCACCCCAAATTGGTTTCTCCATGGATATGATCTCAGTGTATTACATTGATTATGCTTGCTAAAGTTGATTTGGCCTCCAGCATTGAACAGAACGAAGTAATTCACTCTGAACAACTGGGGTAGTTGAAAATATCAAAGTTAATATTGACACAGACTCTCTCAGCGCCGAGGTTACTATCAATGGCTTTATTGGATGGAAATGGACCGATGCCAGCCGTTTTTTTCAGGATAGCTCCTGGCTGACTGCCCACAGCACTTCATATGCTCGCTATCTAATAGCTCCGGGGGAGACAGAGCTTCAGAAACGAGCTCGGTGACTAGGCTAGGGCTCTTGTGCAGAAGCATGAGGAAGTGCATGGAACAGCTAGCACATCTCTTGGCCAGTTGTGAGAGGTAGTGTTCACTAGCACTTGCAATTTCCACCACCTGCCGTTCATCACGCCATCTCTTTGGGTACTGTGCCTTTTTCTATGCTCTGTCAAAAGCAATATGGAGCGGGAAGAATGGGGATTTGAGAGTAGGAGTTAGGTTTAAGTACTCTCACTGCCATTAGCTATGTGACGGGACACATTAGTGAACGCAAGCATCACCTTCTTCAAGTACCATGCTCACCCCACAGTGGGGGTGTGAGGATTAGAATCCATGTGACAATGCAGGTACAATGCCCAACACAACAGGGAGCCCAGGGAAGGTGGTCGGCCCTCCGCCCCTAGTAAACGGAAGCAGTTGGACTAATTTCTCATTGACATCTCCTCTTGCTCTAATACATGTTAATTCTACTTTAGAATGAGGTCCCTTATAATTCCTGGAATTGCTGTAATTCTGGAAAAAGTCAGAGCGTACAAAGGAAATCCACATCCTGGGCTCTCTGGTGAGCTTGAATTCCAAGTGTGGCCATTCAACAGAAATAAAGTATAATGTGGTGTTTGCAGACAAGGCAACCACAAATCTTAAGAGTACAACTATGCTATTATCAGGAATGTCTAAATTGGCTAACGGAGAAACACCTTCCAATGGTATTTTCTGCTACACAATTGAGCACAAATATATAACCGACAGAGCTCTCAAGACAAGGAGAAACATGTTTCCTACTTACTGGTATATAATACATATGATCAGGAATATAACATCTTATCAAGAGGCTTAAAGATATTCTTTCTTTGGAAAGACACAAAAGACAGTTTGAAGGAGGGATTACCCATGCGGCAGAAAATGTACAGCTCATAAAGGCAATGATTTACTGCTCAAAGCCACAGTCATGGTAATACTTGTTGCTCTAAACCCAAACCCACACTGAACTCTTGACTGGTGAGTTGGTTCTGGCTCAGAGAGAGCCTGGAGGGTAGCGTAGAACTGCCCTGTAGGGTTTCCAAGGCCGCAAACCTTTAGGGAAGCAGATTGTCCCCTAGCACCTGAGCGGTTGGATCGGCTGACCTTTCAGTTTGCAGCCAAGTGCTTCACTACTTCCCCCGCCGGTTTCTTGGAGGGGCTCGAGACCACAGGCGGTGCCGGCTCATTGCTGAGTGGGCTTATGACTAGCAACCTCCCAAAGCTGAACAACATAAAAAGGAAAACCGAAAAGGACCTGGCACACCATAAGGGCAATGTTTGGTAAAACTTTTGTGATATAACATATACGTGTGTACCGAGTTGTGGTGGAAAATTTATTTCTGACTCTGGGCCAGGGTTAACAAAACCAGATCATTACTCTATAGGATCGTACCAGCTGCAGTACAATAAAATCTGTATCTGGGACAAAAGCACTTGACATAGCCGAGTGCCACAGAAGAGCCATACCTTAAATTCTGCTGCAAAATAAAAATGTATAAATCTGCCCAGCTTCTCATTTTAGGCCCCCATCTTTAAGTTATTACTTAATGAAGTGGTATACCTAAATGCCCCCATAAATGCTGAGTACTAGATTGCTCAGAAACTCTAAATTTCATAACATATGTGAACATTAACAACAACTCCCAGATAATAGGGCAAAATGATACATATGCAAAGCCCCCAAAAAGAACAGGGAGATGGAGGAGAGTGGAACAGTGTGGCATAGAACCAACATGCGTCGGTACATCAACCTTGTTCCACACGTGCTACACTAAAAAGCTGCCCAACACTGAAGATGATTCCCCATGAGTTGTGCTCAAAAGCTTTGTATTCAAGTGTTTTGTGTTCCAAGTGGATATGCTCAACATGAAGTATGCTGATCTACATAAAAATCCCTATATGTTTCTATAATTTATTCAGGTCTATTTAAATTAATGTTTGACTTTACCAAGAAAACACCCCTTTTATATCAGAAATTATGTTTTGAAAATATAACGGTGTTACGTCTGCCTATATTTTATGATTCTGAACACACCACCCTTTCTTTTTGGGGTGAGCTAACACTTTCAAGGGGCAGGGGCCAGGGCACTCACATATGGTATTTTTAGCAGCTTTACTAAGATAATTTGTGTGCTATAAAATTCACCAACATAAGCATAAAACTAGATAATTTTAAATAGATTTAGGGTTGTGCAACCATCACCCCAATCTACTTTGTAATATTTTCCTCATCCCCTAATGTTTCCCCAGACCCCTTTATAGTTCATCCCTGTCGGGCTGTGGCTAGGATAAGGTGAGTGGGCATTTGCCTCACACACAAAATTTAAGGGGACAAAAACTAGTAATCCAGAGAAATCATATTCCAATGCAATATTTTAAAAATCAAAATGGACGCAGAAGAGCCATGTTGAACAAAATGCAAAATTTCCAATAAAGACTAAATTCAACCCTTAACTTGGGCTACTCTGTCTGTATAACCTAGTGGTTAGTCATCTATTGGAAAGTAGCTGTGCTCAAACACCTTGAGCCAGCAAAGCTGCCATTTGCTGCTGCTGAATGGAGGTCCGGGTAAGGCAGGGCCTTAGAAGTCCAGGCCATTTCCAAGCCTGCCCTGTGTTTACTTTCCGCAGGGCCTTTTTGGGTCTCCTGTGCACATGTGTCAGGGGTATGGGAACAGTGTGGGTCCTCTCTCGATTGCCTCTGCGCATGCTTCCAGCCTTAGCCAAAGATCTTTTGGCTCCAACCACAACAGCCAACTCAGGTTGGTAGGGCTCACCCATGACTTTCCTCATTTGCCAGGCTTCCAGAAATCTCTTTCACTGCCACATGGCTGAATGTGGGCGCTGCCCATACCCCAAATTAAGAGAACCCGTTTGAGAGCATTGGACTCACCATGCTCCGGCAGAACCTCCATGCTGACCATCTGACTGGCTATGAAAATAAGAGCTTCCCCACGGCAGAATACCATGCAGTCCCATGTTCTTACCTGAAGTCCAGTCGTTTTTCAATCACGGAGCGTCACTTTTCTTGATTTCCAGGGTGCTGAAATGTTGCTTTGTTTTAAAATCGACTTTGTCCAGTTTTAGGGTTGCTTTTGGGGAATAGAATTTTTCCATCACGTCACTAGGCCATAGTTGGAAGTCTTGCTTCATATCCCGTGTTTTCCTCACAAACTCACCACCAAATATTTTCATGGGAATTGACCATTGATGTGGGTTGGTGAGGCCCAGGATGCAGCTCGAAGGTGTTGAATTTCCAATCAATCACCTGCCCATAATCTAAAGCCTCAGAATGCCTTTTTCCTTTGTCAGCAATGATCAATGAAAGTCCAATATTAAAGATTCATTGCTTTGGGAAATGACTTAAGTAAGTTATTCTGGGAAAGTAGAGAGCAGTTCCTTGTGGGACACTACAATGGAGTGTTCTAGGTACTCTGAGGGCAAAACCCAAAAAAGGGGACACCGACAAGGGAAGGTGGGAGGGTTTACAGACGAGCACCATCTTCTTTCAACTTTTGTCTAGATCCAGTCTCTAGACAAAGGAGAAAATGGTTTAGCTCATTTAGCTTGACCTGATGGAAATTGTGTCATATTAAGCTGGTAATATTGGCTTCATCCAGAGCTGAAATGCTTGTTATCATGTCTATCTGTTAAATGGACAAATGTATGATAACACAGATATACGGAAGACATTCAAAACAACATGACTGACACACGCACTTCATGGATCCAAGCAAACGATATGGTCTGATAAGTGTCATCACTGAATGGAATGTTAAATGAAACAAATTTGGGCTTGAGATGGGTGAATCAGATGTACATGGAGGGAGTATGGCCACACATTGCAAAGAGGCATCAGGTACGACATGGAAACAAACCTTGGAGAAATATCACATCCTTGCTGCATAAAGGCACCCAAGGAAAACCAAAGACTGTTAAATATCCCAAATTCATTTGGAGGATCAGGAGGGCTTTGTGGGTCCCGGGGTTCTTCATTGTTGTCTTCCAAGTGCCATTCGTAAGGGCTGAATCTGCTGACTAGGAAAAGAACGACGCTGACTCCAATGTAAGCAAAGACGATGCACATCCAGATCTCATAAGCCAAGGGATCCAGAAAGGAGAATACGCCTGGTTTTGATTTCTGAGGCTTCTTTATCATAATGGAGATGCCCAGGCTCATAAACGGCTTTGAAAAATCTATGACTTCTTCACGGACCAGTGTTATAGTGAGTGGAGCAACAGCTATATCCGCTCTCTGGAAAACAAACAAACAAACAAAAAAACACCAAAAGCCCCATGACTTTCAGAGTCAGCACTTCAGTTATTATTTCACTTAATATGCATCTGGTGGAAAGATGCAGTTTAAAATCACTACAGCCAAGCTATTTGCCAATGAACATAGTAGAATTCACTGGGTTCTACAGTACTTTAACTGGATGATGGTCAAGAAAGGACAGTGGCTGTTTGTCCTCTGAGCCCTATAGGCTTAGGGTTAACTTCTTCCTAAAAATTACTTTTTACAACCATGCAACTCAATTTTTCCTGGTGACATAGCACCATATAATTCTGTTTTCTTAATTTTCATGTTCTTATCTCTTAGTTCCTATAACTTGACTAGAGATTTCTGTGGGCAAGCAGAATCGCCTATCCTAATCCCCACCTACATTTCTGTTTCTGACTTAAAAAAAATTTTATTGGCACACCCATTCCACACATATGTGTTTTCAGCTTTCATTGATATGAAGAAGAGTTGTGCAATCATCACCACACTCCTTTTCAGAACAATTCCCTCTTGTAGGCATTGTTAGCACCCTCATTTGCTCCTGTCATGTCCCTCCAAAAAAACCCTCCAAATTCACTGCCATCGAGTCAATGCTGACTCACAGTGACCCCATATACTACAGGCTAAATCTACCCCTGTGAGTTTCTGAGGCTGTAACTCTTTATGGGTGTAGAAAGCGTTGCCTTTCTCCCCTGAAGCGGCTGGTGGTTTTGAATGGCTGACCTTGTGGTTGGCAGCCCAACACGTGTAACCAGCAAGTATTACTAATTATTAATCCAATTATTGTCTCTATAGATTAGCCCATCCTGAATTCTATATACAGAAAACCCTACAAAGCATATACAGGCAGCAAACGACAGCAACAACAATAAAAGCCAAATTAATAGACAATAGAAAAATCTCAATAGAAAAGAAAGGAGGAAATATTAAAAACTGAAACAACTTTAAAATGAGTCAACAGAGAGATCAAGTGATACGATATTACATTTTCACCTAACTATATCTGCCATATTTGACTTTACCATGCTCTCTGTAGCATAGCAAGGCTATTCACATCCCTCAACTATGGCCAGAGCGGATCCACGGAAGACTTAAGCCATATGTGGACCTGGCAAATAGATTTTGGGCTTCTACTGTCATCCTTAATCTTCAGCAAACTGAGTGTTCACAATTTAAGTCTTGATACAATTCCATCCTTCAGATTTTATTATTTTTTAGGCCACACAGGTTGGTGTGCTTCTTCCATGTGGACTTACTTGAAGCCTCACTTCAATGGCTGCTTATTTTAAGACAAGTCTTTAAGACACCAGAAGCTATTCTTTCTGATAACTGGGCACCATCTCTTTTTTTCAACACATTTTTCTATAGTATCCATATCTGCGCGCGCACACGAACACGCACACACACACACACATCACTACCACAAGGTATAACACAGGGCCCTAGAACTCAGTTAAACACTGATTGTTTACTATCTTGCCTCACTATCATCAAATCGATGTCATCTCCAAGTGGCCTTGTAGGACAAGGTAGAACTGCCCCTGTGAGTTTCCAAGACTGTAATTCTTTATGGGAATAGAAAGCTCCATCTTTATCCCATGGAGTGGTTGGTGGTTTTGAACTGCTGACCTTGTGGATCTCAGTCCAACACGTAACCACTACACCACCATGGTCCTTTTATCTGGCACTATCATTAATTTACTTGTTTTAAAGTTAAAAACTTTTTATTGTGCATCGGGGGAAGTTTATAGAGCAGATCAGTTTTCCATTCAGCAATTCATATACATTTTGTTTCATGTAATTGATTGTTATCCTGACAAGGTAACATCATTTACCCCACTTTCTGTGTTTTCTAGTTCCACGCCCACCCCCTTCTTTCTAATCTTTATGAACTTTGTCCTAGGGTAAATGCTGCCTTTCTGTCTCAAATGGTTTATTATTCTAAGGTGTGTATATCTTCCTAGTGTTATTGTTCCCTTAAATGACTGGCAGAAAATTGATCCATGGGTGGTGAGTCTCATTTCAGATCTGAAGGAGGATTAAGGATCATAGTCTTTTTTTTTTTTTTAAGGTTCATAGTCTTAGTGATTCCACTGGTCTCTATGTAATCAACATGTCTAGTCTTTAAAAAAAATTATTTTGAGCCAGCCTGCCATGCCCATACAGAAAAAACCTGGAAGGATAAAGAGAGAGTGAGGTACTAGGCCCCATACTGGCACACCAAACCCTGAGGATGCTGTCCCTGCACAGAGCTGCTAAGGCACGAGAGGACTGTAGGGCCAACAACAGCTCGAGACCTGATGTCCCCTCACTGGAGCATACTGCAACAGAGGATAATACTGGGGACACATAGCAGGGAGTGAGTCTGATCTGAACACCCCACAGTGCAGTGAACCAAGAAGGGAACATAACAGATCGGCAACAGGAGCAAATCAAAGCCACAACTCCCCTGAGGAGCCCCCTACATAGACTTCAGGCTATGAGGGGCAGCTCCCAGAACCCCTCAGGACTGGTGGGGAGATAGTCATAAAGGTGGACAGACATGGAATTATGCATGCTATTTCAGGGGATTTTTTTTGCTAGATTTTTCTTTCTTTCTTCTTCTTTTTCTCCTCTGCTTTTAAACTCAATCTTTTGTTTAGCCTCTGTTATTGTTGTTTTGCTCACCTATATAAGATAGGCATGGGAAGCAAGCCTGAGGAGAAAGCAATGGGACCGAAGGTTCTGGAGGGACTTTGGAGGAGGAGAAGGCTGGGGAAAAAAGTGGTGGGCAGGGGGAACAACTAGGGAATTAAAAGCAACAGTGAGGAGGATGTAGAGATCCCCGTGGTGCTGGAACAATAGCCATCTAGTTGTGAGGAATTACTAAGAGACAGAAGAAGGGCAAGCATGATGGTGGGGCAGAAGGAAGGTAAAAGGAAACAGAGGAATGATCCAGGAAGCAAAGTTAAGGATATAGGTGTAAACATAGGTGTGCACTTATGTGAATATATTAATTCTTAAAAATAGAGGTATTGGCCTCTGTACATATATTTATATGGCAATACATTGAGAAAGTAGGTGGACTTTGGACTTCTGCTCAAGTACTCCCTTAATACAAGAACGCCTTTTTCTAACAACCTGGCATTCTGTGATGCTCAACCTCCCAACACGATCAATGAAGACAAAATGGGTACAGAAGCAGATGTGGTGAAGAAAGATGATGGTTCCTGGCTATCAAAAGATATAGCATCTGAGGTCTTAAAGACTTGAAGTTACGCAAGTGGCCATCTAGCAGAGAAGCAACAAGCCCACATGGAAGAAGAACACCAGCCTGTATGATCATGAAGTGTTGAATTATTGGCATCCGACCTGACACACGTGATTCTTGTAAACAAAAGCAGATCGTGTTAAGGTAACAATTACTTCGCATTGTTAGTACACATTGTTTAGCCCTTTTGCGACTGTGATCCAAGCGTTTTTGCTAGAATTTTCTTAGTTTTCGTGGCTTTTTGTACTGTTTTTAGATAAAAAAAAAATGTGGGTCTGAAGAAAGAGTTTCTTGAAAAGAGTTATCATGATAAGGAACTGGTTAACAGTGTTATTATGAATATTGTTGATAATTTAGTAAACCCTTTTAGAAAACAAGGCACGGGCACCAGGTAACAGGCACCAGAAGACCCCAAACAAAACCACAAACCCCATATTGTTGAGAACCATGGGGGTCTGAGCAGAGTCCCAAAAACCCATCTGTAGATAGTGGGACATCCCCTCACAGATGGGTTATAAGGAAGGGATGAGTCAACCAGGGTGCAGTGAAGTACCGATGAGACACACAATATTCCTCTGGTTCCTTGAGGCTTCCTCACCCCCCACTATCATGACCCCAATACTCCCTTTCACTGCGGCCTAGACCAGAGCATGTGCACAGGTACAGATAAGAGATAAGAGCTCACGAAATGCAGAATCCAGGAACAGGAATGGGAGTAGCGATACCAGAAGGGTACAGGGAAGGTGGCAACAGGAGGGGAGGAAGGGGGAACTGATCGAGATGATTGACACATAAACACACACTCCCCTTCCAGGGGGATGAACAACAGAAACTGTGGGGGAAGCGAGACAGCGTTTGGTGTAAGATAGGAAAATAATAATTTATAATTTATCAAGGGGTCACGAGGGTGGAGGGTGGGAGGGAGGGACAAAAGAGGAGCTGATACCAAGGGCTCAAATAGAAAGTAAATGTCTAGAAAATAATGATGGTAACCTACGTACAAATATGCTTTTGTACATATTGATGTATGCTTTGGTACATATTGTACATATGTACAAATATGCTTTTGTACATATTGATGTATGCTTTGGTACATATTGTACATATGTACAAATATGCTTTTGTACATATTGATGTATGGATTGGTATATGGGCTATTTTAAGAACTCCAATAAAATGACCTTTTTTAAATGAAAACAATAGAAAGGATCATTTTGTTTTTCTTTCATCAATCATTTTATTGGGGGCTCTTACAGCTCTTCACTGATGAGATTTTAAGACACCAGTGAAGTACTCACCAGAGGAGGATGTCTTTGTGGACCATGTTATTCCAATTGAGACTATGGTATCCCTTGAGACTATGGTCCTGAGCTCCTAGGCCCAAGGACTTATTCTCTTAAGGTGTTTGATTATGCCTAAGACATTCTTATAATTTGCTCCTTGTGTGTTCCACTACATTCAAGGATATATTTGTAGGCAAGGTAAATATCCACGTACAAATATCCTTTGTCAAACCCATATCTACTTGTGGACATGCTCCCGCTCTGCCTCCCACACCTGGTCAGTCTTTGCCTCTAGCCATCTATTCCTAGATCACTGCTCTGTCAGCCCTCTTGGATAATCCAGGGTAATCTTCATTCATATTTTAAAGTCTGTAACATTAGTTAAAAGAGCTCTGAAGGCCTTGTGGGTTAAGCAATTGGGCTGTTAACTGCAAGGTCAG